GGGTTGTGTGTTACACCTAATGTTGTTAAATGAATGTTTATTGCATTATTTCCATTTCATGTGTGTTAGCATGATGGTGTTTAGTGTTTGTGTGAATGACACCTTCTATATATGTTATTATTTAAAAGCTGCTTGTGATGGGCTTTGGTTCATCACCTCCTGCTTTTGGTGGTTATCAGTGTATTACAAAGCTACAAAACAGATTTCAGTACTTCAATAGGTTGGTATATTAACATTATTTCAGTTAATGAAATTACGGTATTTTACTGTAAATTTAAGTTAAAACGGTAAAACCTAAAACGTTGCTACTGTAGTTTTTACGGTAAAATTCCGGCAACCACAGCTGCCGTTTTTTTACTGTATATTTTACGGATTTTTTTTTACAGTGTATATATATGATAATGAGATTTGTATTTTTGGCATTACATTAAGAAATACTGTCAGAGTGCTTCCTAAAAATTAATTGCTTTGTTATATAACAAAATACAATTTATTTTGATTTTAGCATAAAATACTTAAATATATAAAATAAGAATAAACTATGGCAAATATAAAAATATAAAACATATATAATGTAAAAAAATAATAAATATGATTATTTAAATAAACTATGCCATGTTTTTTTTTTGAGAGCAGAAATCTGACCTGTTTCTTTTATGTATAACTGACCAACATGCATCACATAAAGTTTATTAGTTTATAAGTATATGTTAAAACTGTGAAATGCAAATGGATGGAATTTAATATGCAATTCAAATGCATAAATCTTAAAGGTGTAAATAGTGCATTTTAGAGTTTCCTGGAGCAGATTTCCATTCTTACATCACGCACCAAACTTTTGAGTCAGCAGACGACGAGGGAATATACTAATCAGTGTACAAATGTCTCCAAGACCCTCAACAGACAGACCGATAATATTTCATGACCATATAAACCTTAGAAAACACTCTCACGCTCACCTTGTCCCCCTGATAACCAGTTTCTCCCGGCTCACCCCTCAATCCAGGTTCACCCTGAATCATACAGCATCAGGATTATAGAAGACAGAACACAGCATGCCTGAACTGATCTCATGTATGCATTCATACTGTACATATACAGCAGCAGTCATGAGTTTGCACATGCTAGAATAATACTGCAGTGATGAAATAACAAATAAGAGTCTGGGAATGATGTAGTGATGAAAACTCATGACACAAATAAAAACTCTCTCATATTTGAGCTTTTTCTTCGTTTAGATTCCAGCCAGTGATCATTTAGTATCATTGAGATACTTGTACAGATTTTTTTGTATTTTGATTTAGTATTTATTTTTGTACTTACATTTTAGTTAAAGTTTTGTCATTATTATTATTTATGTTTTTACATTTTTTATTTCAGTTTTAATTTTAGCTACTTTAGTACATCAAGTTAAAATAAATTGAGAAATGTTGCAGGCAACTCGCTGAAATAAAATAAATTTAAGGTTATTTTTTATTTTATATATATATATAATATATATTATATTGCTGTATATATATGAATACATTACTATTATTATACTATTATATTATAATATTATATGTGTGTGTGTGTGTTTTCTTCATCTAGATACCATTCTATATTTTTTTTAATATTTTGAATTCGTTTTTATTTTTGTATTTTCAATTTTAATTTTAAAGCTTCTGTAATTTTTTTTTGTGTGTTTTGGGCTTTTTTGTTAGTTATTGTTTTGTTTTGTATTGTATTGTTTTAATATACCTATACACTTTTTAATAATTATTTTTAGTTATTTTCGTACACTATTGTAAATAAGACCGGGTTAGGGTTTCATGAAAAAAGTCTCACAAATGGACAAACCTTATATTTCTAATAAAACTAAGTGTCCTGAAAATTTTTGACTGCTAGTGTACGCCGAACACTTCCTATATAGATCATCTGTATAGACATGTTAGTCCATTTCTCCAACACATTAACCTTATAAGTTCACTTGTTCGCTGCAATAATAGAAATATTTAAATCACCTTATCACCTTTCATTCCAGGAGGCCCCACCCCTCCGGTCAGGCCCTGCCAATGAGAGAACAAGATCTTCAGTGTCCAGCCAATCACGTTACAGGAACACTGAGGCGTAACGGGACAGGACGTTACCTGAGGTCCCACAATGCCAGGGAAGCCACGGGGTCCCTCAGGCCCCGGATCACCCTGAGAGAAGAGACAGAGACCCAGCGTTCAGTGAATAATTCAGTGATGGACACTGAATGACAGCTTTATGAGGACATTCCCACCGTCTGCCATCATGACAATCATCTTCTGTGAGTTTCTGGCTTCTCACAAACAACATGTTAGAAACACAGAGTCCTGAAGCCACTTAGTCTGTGATTGAACTCTCACACGCACGTTCAGACAATTACTCCTGAAAGAGCAGAATTAACCCGCTTCCCACCGCGGTAAATGTGCTTTAAGGCCACTCACGGTCGGGACAGAAGGTCAAGGGAAAGTTTTAATCTATATGATCTTGCAGGAGGAACAGTTTTTACAAGCACATTCTTTGGTAAAAGGTAGTACTGAAGGAATTATGGTACTGTCAGCCATATGACAAAAAAAAAAAAACGCCATTCAAATAATGTAAAGATTTTAAAATTTTTTGAATTGAATATTTAATTAATTTAAATAATAATAATAATAATAATAATATATGAATGCATATCCAAATCAATAAATAAATAAATACATACATACATATAACTGTAGGATACCACCGAAGCAGCAGGAAAAAAAGAAAAGGAAAAAAAAACACAAGTACTTTTGCTAAGATATAATTATTATTTTTTTGTATTAATTTTGGGAAAAAATCTCTCCCTCCCTCCCTCTCTCCCTCTCTCTCTCCATCCATCCATCCATCCATCTATCCATCCATCCATCCATCCATCCATCTATCTATCTATCTATCTATCTATCTATCTATCTATCTATCCATGTATCCATCCATCCATCCATCCATCCATCTATCTATCTATCTATCTATCTATCTATATATCTATCTATCCGTCTGTCCATCTGTCCATCTATCCATCCGTCCGTCCGTCCGTCCGTCCGTCTCTATCTATCTATCTATCTATCTATCTATCTAT